ACATTAAAAAATAATAAATAGGAAAAGAACAACATATTAAGGCCAACATGAGACAGTAGGGCCAAAAGACTTATTGTGGTTAGCTTGTGTTGAGTATTTGTTCAAATTACTGAAAAAATAAAATCTAAATTAAACAAACCAAAAAAAAACTTTTGTGTACCTTGATTAGACTTTTTATTCTGCTCAGAAATATCCAACTCAGAAAACAAAACTGCTTCTATTTTTCTTTACTAAACAATTTAAAGGACCGACTGTGAAGACTGTTTTTCAGTCGACAATAAATTAACTGGAAGCAACGACTGAAAAATCGCGGCTGCGCTGTAGCATCAAATTTAATGAGCATTATGTGACAGAAATATGTGCCACTTGAACTTAAGTGCTGGATAAATATATCTTTCTAGGCTTTTTTTACATGAATTATTCTCCAATTTTAAATCTGTCGCTTCCATAGCAAATAAAGGTTTTAAAACTGGCAGTTTTAGCTGCAGCTTTAGCTTTGATCAGCTGATGGGTTTCAAACAGTTAGGTTTCACCTTCATGTTGTAACTATTTTACACCAAAACCATTTAGGACCTGAAAAATTCAAAGTGTAATATTGATATGATCTCCTGCGTTCAGATCTGATTGGAGTCTTTAAAGCAGCTGTCTTATAGCAACTCTGTTGAGTAAATAAAGGAGATAAAACAGATGTAGAGGGACATGACCACACCGAGGAAGATTTCAGACAGCAACACCTTGCGTGACGTCTGGAGCTGCACGATCTATCGTCATTGCAATGTACGTGTGCGCAGTATTCACACTGCAGGTCCAGGGATGCAGGAGGAAAAATTTAATTAATGTCTTATCAACGGACTAAACCACAAGTCATTGCACTAAACGGTCTGGTTACGACTTTTATTTTGACAGGCTCTTTGCACTGGTGAAAGCGGGTGGCTTCGTGTCAAATAAGCTAAAACAGGGGTTCTCACACTTACAAGTGTGAAAAATTTCCAGGGACCCCCTCATTAACCCCATGCTGTTTTAGAAATAATTTACTGTCATTTTAACCCATAAATATTATGAGAATATTATGTTTTTATTTGGTTTATGTTGTTTTACTAGTGCATTTTTCCTCATGTTCATTTTTCAAATAAAATCCAAAATAACCACTTATTGAAAAATTATGAGAACCCCCAAGATAGGGCTCATGGACCCCAGTTTGAGAACCTCTGAGCTAAAATGTTCATTTTGTTGTGAAACATCTGGGACAGTAATGGCAACGTTTGAGAAGTGTTGTAAGTGAATTCTCAAGCTGTGGAGGAAGACGACAGGGATCTTTACGAAAACGAGGATGATGAGCAAAATCGCAGAGAACTGGAGGAAAACAGTGCGACAGAAACAAACACCAAGATAGACACAGAGGCAACACGTTAGGTGCTAAAACACAATTCACATTTTCAGATGAAAGGAGGAAACATGTACTCAGGTCCCAGCACAATAAAACAGACAGAAACATGCCTGTAACATGAACAAAAAAGAGGTAAGTGCAAGTTCATCGCCAACAAGATGGCAGCAGAACTTAAAGTGTTTTTTCATATGGCAGGCTTGTATCTAATACCATGCAGCTACTGTATAGTGACCTCTGCCAGATCACCAGATACAAAGTAAAAACAACTTCTGAGTGTTTCCACCCACCTGTCGTAAACATTAAGCAGCCAGTTGAGACACATATCCACACAGAGGGGAATGTTGACCAGGATGGATCGCTCCTCCTCCAGCTTCTCGTACAGAGCTGTCAGGCCGTGGATCACCTCCACCACATCCATCACGTGCTCCCCCTGCTGCAGCTCCTGCTCCCGGAACACGTCCGCGAGCTCGCTCAGCGCCACCAAATCCACTAAAAAAAAAGAGCACTGAAATCACAGCCGGCTCAGCGACACGTCTATCATGTGTTTGACTCGTTACATAAAGTGAGGCGTCGTCTTTGACTCGAACACGAGTGCAAATTTACTTCTGTGGGCCGAGGAAAACCCTCATCCCTCTCTACAAAGGAGGCAACACCAGCGCTTATTCAGCCATTTCGGCTACTTAAAGCYCAGCCGTATGTTTCAACAGCAGTGACACAAATTTGATTTTGCTCTTCTAAGCTAATTTATTGGCCCGTCCCTGGGAGCGGAGCTAAAAGGGGTGTCCGTTGATGCCACGTATAATTGGATGGCGTGATAATGAGGTAGATAAGGCAAGTGTTTCTCCAGGTTTCGGAGGGAATCACCACTAAAAAAAAAAAGTATTTTTGATGGGCACCACCGCTCCGTTCTTCACAATGAGGATTCTGGAGTTATCAAGGCAGCCTAGCAATTAAATCCAGTAACGATATCAACTCTTAGACCAGAGCCGGAGGGRGAGAGGAGGGGGTGGGAGATAACGCAGCTGGGAGGAGGAGGAAAATGAACGAGCGACTGAAAGACGTTTTATGTGCACGCTGACTTTTTATTGCRGGAAGGTTAGGAGAAGGTTGTGGCAAATAGGTAGGACACAAAAGAGGAACCTAAATCAGCAAAAATGAACGGTTCTAGGGATAAAAATGAGCTGAACTGGGGTCACAGCCCTACATAGGAGAAAGTGAACAAAAAAAGAGGAGGTATCGACCCCGATGGGGCACCCAATCAAGCTTCAACCACGCAGCGAAAAACTAATTAGCTTCTATTTTGTAGCTCAAATGGACCAATTAATAGCTAATTACCCAGGAAGCCGAGCATCTAGGCTGAGAGGACAGCGTGGACGTATTCCAGCGTGTCTGTAACCCTGGTGGCTCTTGAGATTAGGATTACTTCTGATTACTGCGTTTTTAAAGCCAAGTAGGGCAGAAAAGGGGGAAACGGTTCCTTCAGCGGCTGAATGAAGAAATGTGCCGCGGCTAATGGCTACATCTCAGCCTCACAAAGACAATGTTACAGAGAATTATTGATGGTGCAGGGAAACAGGAATACCACTCAGACGGCACACACATCTCAAAGCCTTCTGAACCCGCCGCAGCTTCATGGCCGTTCTGTACGCCGAGAACTTGATGTTGTTCAGATCCGCTGGTGGAAGGAGAAAAACGATTAAAACATGAGAGAAAACAAATCCACCCGGGAAGCAGATCTCCCCCATCTTTCCCCTTGTTTATCACTCCACTGCAGCAGTCATTAGTAGTTTATTGTATTAACACTATCCATGCATCTGTCTCACTGAGCATGTGACCGAAGAGCACAGCCCGGATGAGATTAACTGTTAAAACACACGTTGTCGTTTAATCGCAATTAATTAGGAGCTAAGCGGGAAGCAATCTCCGCACTGGCAAATTGGGCGTCACAGGTTAACAGCAATAAAAATGTAGGTGGCTGAAAGGCAGGTCTCTTAATGAGCCACGCAACAAACCAAACAAGTGGTGTTTCCACTGCTCAACGTGAGGTCGCAGACAAACAAACAGGACAGAGTTTGTCATGTTACTCACCCAGCGCTTGGTACAACTCTGTCATCTTTGGATGGTCCCAGCACGTCGTCTGGGCCTGATGGCTGCGAGACGGTATAAGAAAGAAGAGCAGAATGGGTTTTTATATATATATAAAGCAAAGGAGAATGTAGGTGTGCTCTTTTCAGGCCAGAAAGATCAAAGTGAGAATAAAGTATGAATGAGTAGGCAGAGCTGAAATGAGCAGGTGAGGCCGACAGTAAAAAGGAGTGAGAAGAAAGGGCACTGAGTAAGAGGGAAAAAAGAGGAAAATTAGAGGGCAGAATAGGACGACAACTGTTTACTAAATAGGCCAAGACGTTTGAGACCTGGGAAATTCAGACAAGTATAAAAAGATAATGAAAGGCTTCATGTTCAGGCAATAAAAAAAAAATCACAACATGATATTACTTTGCTTCACTCATGAATGCAACATATCTATCTCATGGCTGAAATCAACCTCTAGTCTCTAAGAGAACACCCAGGAAATGAATGGAGTATAAAATCAAAAGGGACGAGTGCAGCAGAATAAAGGGGAAACCTCACAGCGGGACCTGTGGGCCTTTCAGGGCTGCAATCATCATTTACTTGTAAAAGCACTCATTGATTACTGTCCAGTGGAGTGCGACTCACATACTGTTCATCCCCACTGGAATACAAATAAAGTCCATAATAAACCTGACTGGCAGGCTAAACAAAGACCCGGTGTGTTGCAAATGATTAATGAGATAAATAATATCTACAGAGAAACAAAACTAAATTTTGATGCAAGCTAGTATATCAGTTCAGACGGAGGGAGTGGTGGGTACAGCTAACCAAAAAGTTAGCTTTGTCAGCTCATAATCCACTAACTAAAAATATAGCTTTGCTAACGCTGAACTGCTAAAAAAAAAGAAAAACTATGGAAGCTATCGCTAATCAGCTAAACAAGTAGAAATGAGTGGAAATCACAAAAGACTGGTGGAACTGACACAAACCTGTTGATGTTAGCATGTTAGTTAGCAGACTAAAGTTGGCGTACCTAGCTTTGCAAAACAGCTGAACACCTAACTAAAAAACTTGTTGTGCTATTGGCTATTAGCTGTTAGCTGATTAGTGGAACCATACTTGCACTAGCCTTTAAAGACACTGGTCCACTTCCCGGCTACAATAGTTGGTCCAGTATTTTTAATGCATAATTTCTGATTATTATATACACAAACCTTGATTTTACAGAAAACGTAGTTGTACCAAGACAATGATGGTGAAGTAACCAAAACAATGGTGAATGTAGCTTTTATCCTTCCTGGCTTTGCTGACTTTTTGATTATATAAGATTTGAATAATTTAAACTTAGCAGTGGAAAAGAAAGCCAGCGATGCTGCCAGCTTGTCTGCTTTAGTAAAGGGTTTTGTCAAGAAGAGGGAAAACATTATTTTAACCAACTTTGATTTTCAGTCCAAGAGTTTTTGGGCTAAACTCTCTATGGTTTGATGTGAGCCTGATTGTTGACTGAAAGACCAAATGTTAAGTGCTTATGATTTATCTGTATTTTGTTCTGCTGGTTCTCATCACTTTTTAAATAGGACAGAACCTTTTTGATTATGCAGCTGCTTCTCTTTACTGTATTTTTATTTGTATGATTCACCATGGAATCCTACAAAACACTGAGTTAAAAAAAATGCAACTTTGTTTGAATAAACTTTACATAAATTATAGAGCTGCAACAATAACCTATTCTCACATTCTGTGTAGACAGACTTGTTTCACTATTGGCCTGTATAACCACATCAGTGATGGGCTAGGGTTACGTTAATAGAATAGAATAGAATACCTTTATTGCCATTACACATGTGCATAGTGAGATTAGAGCTGTTAGTGGATTAGCTTTTTCACTAACTCTAAAAACTTTTAGCAGATCAATTAGCCTCAACTAAATTAGATTTTGCCAACTTTAAGTTCGCTAACAGCTAACTAACAACCTAACATCAGCAGGTTTGCGTCCGTCCCACCAGTCTTCAGCTGGAAGGAGACACGTGACGCAGACTGACTGACTAAGAGCTGGATTCGCTCCCACTCCCATTACCCACCAGTGTTGGACCCGGCCTTGGAACTCAAACTGGCTGAGGAGGAGGAAAATCTCTGAACTCTAGCGAACCGAGTAGAGACAATAACATCATGTGACTCTGGACTCTGGATGGGCCCAGGGTTGGGCCTAGCACAGACCCCTCCCCCCATCCCCCCACCCTCAACATCACCTACTCCTCTGAACCCGCCCCATTTTACCTCCCCTTTATGTGTCATCTGGCTCTTGCCTTCCTACGCAGCTCCGCTCAATTCTAGTTTCCCTTCACTGCTCCGTCTTGGATTTCTCCCATAGACAATGATTTCGCTGGCAGATTTTTAGCCGAACCAATCAGCGAACAGAACGTCAATTTTCTGTACAGTGTCTGCTTGTAGTTTATTTTACCTGGGCCAATCAGCAAACAGAAGGCGGAGTTTTGAACGACGTCGATTTTCTGCGCAGTGTCTGCTAGTTAGTTTAGCATACGGCAGTGGAGGAAGTGAATGAAGCCAGTCTGTTGATAAGGCTTCCAAATTAAAATAAATTTGTCTGACAAAGCAGCAGCTCTCATTTACAGTCGTCTCGTTCGGCTCGGTATATTTCTCCTCTCAGTAGGGGTGTTTACAGCACACGCGATTTCCTGTTAGCTTCTTAGCTTATCCTCCTTCACAGTGACATACACACACACACGCTTCAGCAGAGGCCACGCCTCCAGCAGGGATCGCTTCTTTATAGCAGCGAGTCCAGACCATCTGTACGAAGCAAAGTGAAGGACAAGGGTCTGGTTTTTACCAGGTTAGTTTAGCATTAGCTCACATTCATTTTTACTTGTTTTGTTGTTTAGCATTAACTTTCGCTAAAAAATTTTTTTTGGATGTTAAGCATTTTAGCTTTAGCAAAGCTATATTTTTAGTTAGCTGATTATGAGTTAGCAAAGCTAGCTTTTTAGTTAGTTGTGCCACCACTGAATATCACCATAGAAACTGAAATTTTCAGCTATTTAAAATCATATAATGTGACCTAAAACATTATCCAGAAGAGGAATAAAAATGCCATCTTTGTTCCAGTGGGTGGTTTGATCAATTTCTCATTAAAGATAGGACTCTACAGTTAACCTGTCATGAAAAAAAAGTGTATTTACCTCAACAATGCAGACACTGACCCTAAAGCTGTACTCACTTAATGTAGTAGGGCACTTTGTTCGGGGAGATGGCACGCTCCCACGGTATCTGCACTGAACCTGAGCAAACACATACACACACAGAGAGAAAAATCTATTTCAGATTGGGCACGTCACGCTTGAATTGCCATTATGCTCAGTGTGGCCGACAGCGTGTCCAGACACAGTGTCCATTCAGACCATCCTAACAGAGCTGCTCCTCTGTACAACAGGCGCAGCCAAGCCAAAGAAAGGAGTCTATTGTGTGAGAGCTCCTCACAGTGTTCCTTTGCTTAGAATAGCCTAACAGATTACAGGAGAGGAGTCGTGGATCGCTGAGGCATTTCAACAAACTAAGCCACAAGAAGCGTGGTTCAGGTGAGGGTCAGAAAAGATCCACTGCATTTCAAACACTTTTATTTCTCATGACTACAGAGTTGTAGCGCTGTAAGTGTTGATAATGACTCTCTCACAAAGTTTAGTTCAATATCTGTAAAACTGATTAAGTTAATAAGAAAAATATTAATAAGTTGTAAATCAAGTGACTACTTTCTGAGAGTTTCAAAAAAACTGTTGAAAGTGAATATCAAAGTTTTAGGCTAAAATTTTGCWAAATTTGCTGAGCTCAGAATATATGCTGGGGAAAATTCTTAGCTACAAACACCAAAATTTAGCTAAGTATTTCTAAAAATGGCCAAGGTTTAGCCATTTTTGTTATTGCAAACATTGCTTATACTGCATGTTGTGGCGGCCATCTTGAACTGGGTGAACTCCAAAAGATATTAAGTGGCAAATGAAGAAAACAATGATTATTTTCTAAAGATTTCAACAAATCTGACCACTGGTTTATCAGATGTTTCAATAATGTTTCAGACCACAAAACACACACTAACTCACAAGTTTGTATTTCTATCCTTCTTAGGACCGTTCATTGACTTCCATTCATTTCCAGTCACTTCTATAGCCTAACCCTCCAACACCTTACCCTAAACCTAACACCCCAGTACATAACTAACCATAAAACCAAGCCCCAACTCAAAAATGGAGTTCCACCATATCAGGACTGGTCTTTGACCTCAATAAGGACTTGGGGTCTTGACAAGATTGGTGTGTGTATACTAGAAAYGCTCCTAAAATGGTAACAAATACACACGCTGGCAAAACTATTTAACTTAAACGCATCAAACTYGATGAAAATCTCTCACTTTAACACCAACTTCCAGCCATTTATAGCATCTCAAACCTTTAATCAATGCTGTGTCTTATATAAAGATTTATATATGATTACTGTACACAAATGTAAACTGAGAGTTAGCAGAAAGGTAAATCAGGCTAAGATAGCTAAATAAAGCTCAGTGTAGCTGAAAACACAAGCAGACGCTCCCACTTCAGATACACAAAAAGTCCTGCAACCTACAGCTTTTACACTTCACTGTCACATTTAATCAAATCCCATTTTCAGCTTCACTGCAGCCTCTGAGGAACAAATAAAAAGAATTTTAAAATGTCCGTTTCTGCTCAAATGAGGGTCAGAAGTTAGAGAAACACAAGCTCCACCTCAGAACACGAGCACTCAACGTTCACAAATAAAAGCCTTGTTGCAGCTCGACTGTGACACGCCAAAACCACCCAGACTGTTTGAGGTGGCACCTTGGCACAGCGTGGCACGGTCTGCAAGGAGCCGACTTCAAACAGAGGATGGGAGAGACTCTTACTGGAGAGGAAATGCTGCGATCCGGGGCCAAAGTCTCTGTGAGCATCCTGGAGCTGCTTCAGCCGCTCCTCGATAGAACCCTGAGGACACACACAAGCACACGCACAACGTTAAATCAAAGAGAACCCTGCTGCTCATCGCTCCCCTAACAAACACACCTGCCTCAGTACAGTCAGTCAGTTACCTGCTGAATATAAATGATGTCTTTGTTTTTCTTTGCCTCCGCAGCTCTTGAAGGACTTTGAAAGCACATGTAGAGCAGCGGGTGGGAAATGGAAACAAGAGATTACAAAATATTTTATTTTGTGAAAAGGAGTATGACGGTGCATGGTTTAACCCTCCTGAAAGCCTCATAGGTAATTATTAGAGGCGTGAGAAAATATGGATACACTGAAATATGGTGATAATTCATTTCCTAATACTGTATTGATTCTCTAAAGCACTGTATTGATTTTTAATTAAGGTTTCAAATGTAAACTTTTAGGACAGCAGTTCATTCTTGTGTTGTATTTTAGCCTCCAACCACTAATTGGCAGCAGTCAGACAGTCATTTGGCTCCTCCACTCCTGAAAAAAACACTGGCTCAAATGTTAGCATTGTGAGTAAATATTAGCGCTAAGTGCCAATGGCTGAATTTGAGCAGGTTAGACCGACACCCGAAGCCTTCAAAGCTGAGGTAGGAATGCCAACTCTTCCACAGATGTCCCGATTTTTAGCCTAGTCCTGTACAGGACGCTCTATAGTTTATAATAAATTCAGATTATAAATTTAAAAACAGACACAAATGTATTATCAAACTATATTGGCACATTTAACCTAACCATTGAAAACATGGATAAAATAAGAAATAAGCATAATATAAAATATTAATAAAACATTTTGGGGTTTTTTTGTTAAGATATTTTGGAGAAAAAATGGCAATATATATCATATATGAAACTGAAGTCTCTTGGGTCATTATGGTCTGAAACTGAAGCCTCTTGGGTCATTATGGTCTGAAACTGAAGTCTCTTGGGTCATTATGGTCTGAAACTGAAGCCTCTTGGGTCATTATGGTCTGAAACTGAAGTCTCTTGGGTCATTATGGTCTGAAACTGAAGCCTCTTGGGTCATTATGGTCTGAAACTGAAGTCTCTTGGGTCATTATGGTCTGACACTGAAGTCTCTTGGGTCATTATGGTCTGAAACTGAAGCCTCTTGGGTCATTATGGTCTGAAACTGAAGTCTCTTGGGTCATGGTCTGAAACTGAAGTCTCTTGGGTCATTATGGTCTGAAACTGAAGCCTCTTGGGTCATTATGGTCTGAAACTGAAGTCTCTTGGGTTATTATGGTTTGAAACTGAAGTCTCTTGCGTCATTATGGTCAGAAACTGAAGTCTCTTGGGTCATTATGGTCTGAAACTGAAGCCTCTTGGGTCATTTTGGTCTGAAACTGAAGCCTCTTGGGTCATTTTGGTCTGAAAATGAAGTCTCTTGGGTCATTATGGTCAGAAACCGAAGCCTTGTGGGTCATTATGGTCAGAAACTGAAGCCTCTTGGGTCATTATGGTCAGAAACTGAAACCTCGTGGGTCATTACGGTCAAAAACTGAATCCTCGTGGGTCATTACGGTCAGAAACTGAGGTCTCTTGGGCCATTATAGTCAGAAACTGAAGCCTCTTGGGTCATTATGGTCTGAAACTGAAGCCTCTTGGGTCATTATGGTCAGAAACCGAAGCCTCTTGGGTCATTATGGTCAGAAACTGAAGTCATTTGGGTCATTTTGACCCAAGGGCAGCAGGAGGGTTAGGTGTCATCTGTAAAATCAGTGAGAAGAAGGCGTTTGTTGAGACTGAGTCGACAAAATGACGTTTGCCACTGGCTTTACGGAAACAGCTTTATATCTGGTGTGTTTCCCACTAAATGGGATTTAGTCTGTTAAATCCCAGTTTATTTGAAAAGTATTGGATTTGGCACTTGAATCCTTGTCGGCTGGATGTTGAAATACCTCCTCAGACGACGGGGAGTTAAACCCACTCGCTGTGAGGTGAACAGACACATACAAACGGAGCAGGAAGAGAGAAAGATGAAGGAGAAGCTGATTTCTCGGGGCATCGGTGCTCCTCCACCAGAAAATAATGATAAAAAATACAATCTGCAGTGTAATTTAAATTGTTTGAGACCAATAAAGAGCACTGTCAATGTGCCGTGAAGATGTTCCGGCCAGCTTTGCCATGTTGTACAATCTATTTGTTATACAGGCAATTTAAACTGCCATAAGGAAGACAAATGACTAAATTATCCACGAACGGCAAATATTAGCAAATCAAATTTGGAAATAGATATTTGTAGTGTTGGAGAAGCCAAAATAAACAGCACACAAGATGTTACTGCATTTTACCATTTATTATTTTAATTAAGATAAAACTGGGACAAAGGAAAAAAAAGGTTTTCCTACTCGTCTTGCATCCAAAATACAGGAATTTTTTTCAACGTATTTTCTCTAAAGCAGGCTCTACAGGAAACCTGAGAGCGATCCAAGATCCAGGAGATGTATATCTGCCACTGACTCCGGACACTAAAAGCCTTTTAACATATTGATCATCAGGAAATGTTAGAGAGTTTAATTTACTTCCTGAATGGAAGCCCAGAGGAGTCACAGCACTGATTGTAGCACAAAGAGAGAGCGGGAGTTTTTCTGTTCAACAACACAGATATTCTTCTGTGGCTCCACAAAAATGTTCCCATTTGATCCGGATCAAAGTGAACCGATTAACTAAAAGGCCAACACGCTTAGATTACCAGCCTGAAGGTCCGTGCAGCTTTAGCTGTCTGTGACACCAGTTTGTACCAAAGACCGGCTTTTAATTGTGTTATGATTAGAATTTTAAGGTGTAAGGACAATAACACACATAAATACAAGCAAGTCCAGCTTAAAATGCATAAATAAGATACAACTGATAGTAATTTGACTTAGATTGCAGCAGGATTATCAGCAAGTGTAGATTGCCCTTTCAAAATATCAAATAAATGTATTTGTCAAGTAGTTACTGCAGAACCTGACTTTTTTTAATCCGATTACTCGATTAATTAACAGAATAATGGATTATTAAAATAATAGTTATCTGCTGTCCTGATCAACAGCACTGTAATATGCTCAACTTTATACATGTGCAGATAAATATTTGAAAAAACTGAATCAGTTTCCGGCGCATAATTTAGACTTTGCTAAGGCTGGTGGTGGAGTTTATAATCCCACTGTGACGGGGTGGGGGCTGCGTTAGCGGAATGCTATGTTGCTAAAGCTAGGTCCTAGCCACTTATTCTGTCATCTCCATCAACAGTGGTGCCAAAAACAAACAAACAAAAAAATTTATAAACCCTTTGCTGGCTCTAAATAATAAAACAACTCTTAGCCTGGCAGGGGCAGGGTGAGTAAGAACCGGTGGGCCAGCAGGGTTATAATACACTAGAGGAAACCCTGCTCATAGATGCCTCCGCCAAACGTTCTCCCCAACACACACAGGTGTGCTTCAAAAGAAAAAAAAACTGTCAAATACCAAGCTACAAGTCTAATTGTTAAAAATACAGAGATGTACAAAAATATTTTCAAACCACCCAGCGTTACTAACAAGTTTCAGTTGAAGGAGGTGGTTAATAATTGTCTCTACCTGCTGCAGTTACAGCAGAGAGCACAAAACAAACCAGACCTACAACTCATCGTGTCATTCTGAACCTTCTCCGAGCCGCTCAGGTAATTCAGAACAGATGGGTCGAGGTGCTGGAAATTAATTTCTCAGAATTGCTCAAGAAGGTCCTAAATTATGATGTTCAGAGTCCAAACGCAGAAAAAAAGAATGGTTATTAAAGTGACATATCGGGTTGCAGGAAAAAACATGTCCTGCAGGTTATCTAATGGGAACAGGATGCTCCAACATGAGCTGAGTGGTTTGTTTTGCTTGTCGGAGCTGCAGTTTGCTGATGGTGGGTGGGAAAAAAAAATCTAATCAAATAAAAAAACCACTGATGCTCTGCAGTTAGTGCATCCATACATTCAGCTGTGCACTAACAGGAGGTTCAGCTCAGTGTTTAAAAGGCTTTAAGACTGAGTGCCTTAAATACATTGAAGTACTGCCCTCCTAACGTCAGCGCACAGGTTCCAGTGTTTCAGCTGAAACAAATCCCAAAGGTCTCCGTTTAGAATTACATCTGTGGAGAACACGTCTCCTTCACTGAAGTCTGAGATTACATTTGTTTTATGTCGTGCATTATCCTGCCGGCGGGAGCTGCAGGATGACGGGTTTATTGTCATAAAGAGATGAGGGCTGTCAGCAACCCTGGGGATTCAACCAATGATTGATTGGGATAGAAAAGAAACAAGTGAAATCTCTAGAAATGTGCTTTTTTTATTCTCAAACATAATTCAATTATAACCAAGCATAGAAGCTAAAATGATTCATTCTGATTGTTCAACCTTGTTTTTAACACGGTGACACACACTGTGCTCCATGCAACATTAAAGATAAACAAAGTATACATGCAGAAAACAGGTAAAAGCAAAAACAAATCTTTAGAAATGGTCAAACACAAAATACCTCAGCTGCTGTTTTATGCAGGTGTGTTTTTTTTAAACGCACATTAAAAGAAAGCTTTTCTTGTATCTTTTCTGACACCTGTGATGAGTGTCGCTGTGCAGGACATTTAAGACTCCAAATGGATGGAAAAATTAAGAAAATTAAATCTAATCAATCCACTTGAATCAAATTTTGATCCTACATTTTTTAAAAATTCTTATTTAAATGATTACTGGAAACATTCCTTCTGAAAAAGAAAATCAAATAGAAAGTGAAAGGCTGGCAATAAACTACCTGAAGCAGTTTCCATCTGCTGTTGAGATGCTCCAGGGCTCGAGCGTTCTCCATGGACAAATGGACATCAGAGATGGCCAGCTGGTGGGCCAGCTCATTGATCTGCTTCATGCCCTCCTTCACCTGCGTCAGCTCCTCCTTGAACAACTGCAGGAGAACGAACCGAGGAGCAAACAGCCGAGAACCATGAGTGGAGCAGAGGAAAATGACAAAAAATAAAAATAAAAAAACARCACATGATAGATGTAGATGTTAGACAAATGGAGTCAGAGGGTGAGTTCAAAAACATGGAGAGAAACTGCTGCTGGATGAGAAAAATCAATCAAATTCTGATAGCCTTACTCTCTGTTGTACATTTTATTTATTTATTTGGGTGGTAACTGTGCGCTAACTTCTTCAAATCAAAGGAAAAGAATGTATACCAGGGCCAACAGCAGGGGGCCGGACAACCCCCGGAGGGAGTGGGGGGGGGGTGACCATTGATAGTAGGTGAAACACTGCAGTATGTAACCGAACAAGTGTTATGATCTTTTAAATTGATTTTGTTGCATTCAATTATCAATTTTAAACTTGTAATTGGTTTAAAAGGGTTTTTTTTATGCCAAATTAAGTAAAAAAAAATTTTCGGAGGGCTTGATGGAAGTGGCCCACGGGCCACCAGTTGAATGGTCCTGACGTGTACTGATATTAAATAACACCAGCGTCTTCCTGTATGTGTTAAAGACGGAGAATAAAGAATTTCTAAAAACCACACAAACATTCAACTACACAAACATTATAAAGTGTGAGTCAAAAGTACCAGGACGCCATTCTACTTTGATCCAGTATGGTGGCTTTTAAGATGACGACCATGTTCTGGACATAATCTAAAAGACAGGCCTTCTTATCTCACCCATTGTCAGAGTATTCAGATATTTCATTTTCACTTTTTTGTTTCTGAAATGAAAGGGTGACCTGAGACTTTTGACGCACTACAAATTTATATTGTATGCAAAAAAAAAAAAGTTAGCAATTTTTCACAATACTGCACAAATAAGAAAGATAAATAAATAAAAAATGATCCAACCACAGATCATTAAGTCACAACATATTTTTGTTTTTGTCATAATGAAGTCCTGAGTTTCAAAAGACCAAAACAAGTCATTTAAATCTGTCCCCTTCTGCAGATGGTTTATATTTACACTCTGCCTCTGTGTGTGTGTGTGTGTGTGTGTGTGTGTGTGTGTGTGTGTGTGTGTGTGTGTGTGTGTGGACCTGAGAGTGAGGAGTACAAATGAGACTAACTGACAGGCCCTCCCTGCAGACGCTGCTGAACATGTGCCGGCTGTGACAGGAGTCCAAACAGAGCCATGATTCCTGTGAAGGGTCCTCACTTATAATGAACAATTACAGGCGGCGCTCGACACTCAATAACGACTAAACCAATGACCCGCCATTTGTTGAACGACATCTATTCAGCTGAGGATCACAACCTCCGCCGTCTGTCAGGAACGCACCAACATTTTACAGCAAGACCCAACATAAAAATGTCCCACTTATTTGGAAGAAACATGTCATTTCTGTGGGTTTGTGACAAAAAAGGAAGTTTTGATGTTTGTTTACACCATGTCAGAGTCTAAACCTAACCTGTTTTTTCAGGGATCGCTTGAGGTAATTACCCCCAAGGAGGCAATTAATTTCCTCTAGAAGTATCCAGATAATCTGTACGAGCATGAGAGAGATAAAAATAAAAACAGAACCAGGGCTGCACCTAACGATTTTTTATACAGTCGATTAATCTGTTGATTATGTTTTCCGTCCCCGCTGCGTCTTCTTCTGTGGTTTGCAGACCGGCGCTGCTTCTTCTTCGGTAAAGCCACAGACAAAAGGAGGTGATTCTGCCCCAGCATTATTTCATTGCAAATACAAATGGACATTTACGTGGGCAAATAATACGAATATTCGACGGTAAAAGACTGTGTCGATATTGTAAAGATATGGATTATGTTGAATAACCGGTGCAGGACTAACAGGAACTGTGGTGGACTTTGCTCACTTTGGTAGCATCGATGTGGTCCTGCAGGGAGTCGATGAAGAGGTCACCAACGGGCTCCCAGGCATCCCTCACCCCCTCCGCTTGCTCCAGGGCCCCCGCCAGCTCCTCCATGGCGGCCTGGATCTGCAAAAGGCGTTCCAGTGTCCTCTCCATGTGCCTGCAGGTTTTGTTGAGAAATCGAAGTTTGAAACTTTAGTGTGAAGATGCAGTAAAAATGCAGCACTCCTGTGCAAACATTTTCATTACATCTGGTTCAAAATGTTCAGCGTGGAGCATTAAGTTCCATAAGAGGGTGCAGCGTTTTATTTTTATACACAAAATGAAAAGTAACGTCACCTGACAGGACTTCAGTAAAAATGTGTTTTCCATGAATGCACGTTTTGATTCTCAGGATCTAATTTTCCTGAACCAATATTTGTTTCTTTAACTGTGTCTGTAATGGATCACAGCTGCACCATTCTGTAATAAAGTTATGCTGATTGTATTACTGATAAAATATTGCAGCTCAAGCCTCTAATGCACAAACCAAACTCAAAGCCTGCGGGCCAAATGTGGCCCACCACAGCATTTTATGTGGCCCTCAACAGCTTTAAAGATGTATAATGTCTTGATATAACTGTACGCTGCTTTGAAGTCAGCACTGACCATAAGCTGCATCTCCCATAACGCATGTTGATTATTTTACTCAAAAATTGTGACATCTCACCACTTGGTGGAGGTGTACAGGGTTTAAAAGTCAAAAGCTGGTTAAATTTGCCACGTATATCGCTTCCTTTTTGCTGCAGCCCAGTTGTACTGGGAAGTGGGAATTTCCTACTTACAAATCATAATTTTAAACTGGAACTCCCCTCTCGTGGGAATTCCCTGTTGGAAAGTGGGAGAGTTCAGAATTCAAGATGGCAGCTACTCAGCATAAATTAACAGTGAGTGAAACTTTCTTATTTTTAATAGTATTTCTGTATTTTAGTCAGTCGTACACACTTACAAGAGGACGTGTTAAAACGCTGTTTCTAAGTAGAAAATAACATGTCGAGCCCAGTTATTGTTAGAGATGCTCAGCCGTAGCGCTAAATGTGTTTTTAGCTTAAGTTAAACGTGAAATGTTCTGATGCATCTCAGTAATCCAGGTATAAAAAATAAAAAATAAGTAGGTCCTCTGGTTGGGTTCTTCTTTAGTGAAACGTTCAGTCTCTCCTCCAAGAGACTTCTTCAGTCTGACAAGTTTCAGGTGAACTCAGCCTTATAAGCACTGCCTCCACATAGACAAACAGGTTAGTCACATGCAAAAGAGGGCCATCGCCTAACAATAGGCTTGATTAAATATAAACTATTTACTAATAATAATAAACTAAATAATAAACAATAAAATAAATAATAAACTTAATAACTAAATAGAGCTAATCAAGCCTATTGTTAGGTGATGGCCCTCTATGGCATGTGACTAAATAGAGCTAATCAAGCCTATTGTTAGGTGATGGCCCTCTTTTGCATGTGACTAACCTGTTTGTCCATGTGGAGGCAGTGCTTATAAGGCTGAGTTCACCTGAAACTCATCAGACTGAAGAAGTCTCTTGGAGGAGAGACTGAACGTTTCACTAAAGAAGAACCCATCCAGAGGACCAACTTATTATTTATTTTTTTTATTCAAATGTGAAATATTAAAAGTAAAAACAACCGGTCCTTTGTGGGCCACCATGGTGCTCATGTGGTCCTCAGTCACTAACCCTCCTTCCTTTTTCAAACTGAAAGCTCTGATTATCATGTCGTGGAAAGATCAATGAAGGAAAGAGCCACCAGGCAAACTGCACTGCTTTCAATTTTATTTGACTTCTTCAGAGTCTAACAAAATCTTCTAAAGTGACTAAAACGAGGTGGTTGTTCAAACAACTCAAACTCATCTTTGGTAACATTTTTCTCCAGTTAGGTTTTTTGATGTAGAATTCACCTGTTATTCAAAAAGCATCAACTTATCGAGCCACAGTAAAGTTTTACAGGATGCATTACAGAGTTGGTTTTCTTTAACCTAACAGAAGTCCACGGTGCGCCTGACCTGTGGCGGTCCACGCAGCGAGCCGTCAGTTTCTCCCAGAGGTCGCTGGCCACGTTCGCCTGCTTCCAAACAGACCGACTCACGTTCAGAATCCGCCGGCGTGGAGAAACCTCTGCGGAAGGCGGTTCAATAAAACAGAGCAGAGTCAGAACGTGGGAATAAAAGAGGAGTTTGAGGAAACAGTGAAGCAGACGAGTGTAGGACCAAAACACTGAGAGGAGCGGAGCGACAGTCAAACCTGCTGTATTATTGATCTGAGCAGACGGTGCTGGGAGGCTGCTAAACCACAGCTAATTGGTCCCGACCCGGACGCTCTACCCAAACTCAGCGGGACACCGGAGGACCGGTCGCTGCTAAAATCAACTAATGAAAGATTTCACCTGCGAGGGGACCTGATCACATGACTGAGGGGGGGATCTGAGTGTGGCAGAGCAGCAGTTGGCTCAGTGAAGAGGGAGCAGACCTTTTCCATCGGTCAGGGTCTCCTCTGGCTCCTGGAACGGGTGCTGAGCCAGAAAGGCCTGGGCAGACTCCAGAACAGAGTAGATGAAGGGCCCGCGAGACTTGACATCCTCCATGAACGCCTGTAGGACGGAGGGAAGAAGGAAATGTAACGTTGAAATTTTTAAAAATTAGATGCAGAGAAGGATGAGTCAGACAGGCTTCTCCTTTAACGAGACATCTTAAGACAAACAGACTTGAACACAATGTTTTGAACATCAAATATTGTTTGTCTGATTAGAATAAAGAGCTTCCACTGTGGCTGCTTTCAGCATCCCAAAGGAAAATGCTTTTAAAATATATTAGAGTGTCCTGAACTAAATACTTTGAGGTTTCTGTTGGATTTATGTTTGGTTTAAAGAACACAGAGATTAAAAGGGCTGTAAGTCCTGTGGGAAACTTTAACAATCATGTCCTACATTATTAAGCATTTAGTCTAAATAATGTTTTAACTCAACGTTTAAAAAAAACATGAAGTAGAAACAAGCCTTCTTGAAACAAGCTCTTAATTTGTAACATTAAGAGTTTTTAACATGATAATTATCACATTCATATCAGTCAAAAGTTCATTTAAAACAAAATATACAGATAATTTAAATCATCCTGTTCATGAATTTATTTTCTGCACTCAGATATGAAGATTCATGTTTATGGATCTAAACAGGTTGAACAGATTTTAAGAACTAAAAGATGATTTTTAAGGCTTTAAAACCTAACAATGACCAGATTTAAAAGGCTGATTTTCAAACATATCCAGGCTATAAACAAGAACAAACAGCAGAGTCCACACCCCTATAATTATCCTAATCATCATCATCATTCTGTGAGCGTTTTAATTGATTATAAGTTGATTCATAATCAGTAACCAACAACATGACAGCCTAACAAAAAAATTGCGCAAAATTTTACAAAATGCTTTGATTTCTTACAAGAACAGAAACATGAAGCTGGAAACACAACTTGACTAATTCCAATGCTTCTAAAATATTAAAACAAGGAGGTGGGCATAACTAACCAAAACGTTAGCTGAAAAATGCCTTTGCTAACGCTAAATGTAAAAAAATATATATAAATAAGTGGAAGCTAACACTAAAAAAATAAAAATTAGTGAACGCTAATTGATAAGATGACAGACAATCTGTGTCACATGTCTTTGTCTCCTTCCAGCTGAAGACTGGTGGGGCTGACAAAAAACTGTTGATGTTTGCTGTTAGTTAGCTGTTAGCGGGATTAAAGTTGTCATAATCTAATTTAGTGGAAACAAATTGGTCCATTAATGGTTTTCAAAGTTAGTGAATAAGCTAATGTGCAAACTAAAACTATAGCTTAACTAACGTCAAACAGCTTAACATGTAAACAAACTTTGGAGCAAGCTAACAATAAACAAGTAAAATTATCAGAAGCTAACAGTAATAGCTAAATGCTAACACGTCTGTCAGTCATTAGCTGTTTCCATTGGCCATGAAAATGCACAAATTAGAATTTCGAAAATAAATTTGCTCAATGGAAACACGTCAATTTAAAAAAAACATCATTTTTTTCGACAAAATGTTTTTGCGCTAGGGATGAGGTGGTTTTTCAGCCATATCGAAATTGGTGTGTTTCGCAAAACTGCAATGGAAACACTTTTTTCGCATCACGGGAGTCACGTGATCAAGAACCGGCTGTTTCTACTGGTGAAAAGGACAACGAAGGAGAAGACAACAGGAAGTAGCGGTAGTAGTAAAATCACCGAAATTGTAAAAGAAAGTTGTAAACTCATCGACTACAATTTCCCAAAAATGCTGCACACATAGCCGCTCCCAAGTATAATGGGCTCATCGCTCGAAAGCCTCGATAAGATGCCGACGTCTCCTCTGATGGTGAGCGCTAGTGTCGTGGTAGCAATTATGTATGTGTTTACATCCATTGCCGCCATGTTTGTAATGACATCTCGAGAACAAATGTATTTACGCGTGACTTTAATAGCATTTCTTACTTAATGGAAACACAGCAATTGCAAAACTGTTTCTGACATTAACAGAATATCAACAAAGTTTTGCGCACATTTGCAATGGAAACTCAGCTATTGTCACGTCTTCGTCTCCTTCTGAAGACTGGTGGGATTGACATAAGCCTGTTGATGTTAGCTTGTTAATTAGCTGTTAGCAGACTTTGAGTTGGCAAAACAGAATTTAGTGGAGGCTAATTGGTCCATTAACGGTTTACAAAGTTAGTAAAAATGCTAATCCAATAAATGAAAAATGAATTCATGTATTGGCTGTTTGCTGATCCACGCACACCACTTATTTAAACCTCTTCACATTTCTAAAGTTAACAGATAATTCTAACGTTCTACAGTTATGATCTGTAATGGGAAAAATAACATCTGTTTACCAGTGGTTGCTGCAATTTTTTCCTCCATTTTGCCGGGAAAATGTTTGTCAAATAAATCACTGAAGTTTGAACCTGTGAATTTTCTTTCCCATATGATCCACAAACAATTTCAATTTTTTACTCCAGTTAATTAAAGCTCCAAAAGGAACAGGAGATAGATATTTTTAGGCTATTAGTTCCCAAACTTTTCAGTCTCTGACACACAACAGAACAGAAAAATAAGCTGTCCCTGGTTATAGGACACAAACATTATAATTAGACCAAATAAACAAATGTTATACGGACTAATAACACATATAAAGTTAAGAGCCTCTGCATATTTTTTTTCATTAGGCTTTCAAAGCATAAAAAAACATTTGAAAGTTCCCTTATAAAAGCTGCAGGTTTTCTACGAAACTTGACAAACTTATTCGATTCATTGCTAAAACCTTTTCATACCATTAGCCTCTCAAAAGATTTCTAACCTGAAGTAAAATCTGAGTCAAACACTGACTTTTGATTTGTTGTTATTGAACAACAACACTCAACGTCACTTCAGGTTTTAAAGGAGACACGAGATGTTGTAAAGAGTCTAAAGCTTTAAAAGGGTTAGTCACTCAGAAGGTCAGCACAGCATTGTGGTTCAGTGTTCAGAGAAGTGAGAAACAGGATGAACTCATGTTGCTGATCATCTGTTATTGTTCCCAATCCAACGTTTTACACTGAGAAGTATCTGTTTAAGATAAAGCATTTTTAGCTGCAGGGACACATCATAGGAGAAAGAAGGAGTTAGATAATTCAGAGCTGAAGGGATCATCATTTATTTTTACATTCTTGAGCCACACTGTCACAATTAAAGTCTTCAAAAAGCCACACACGGACAGTGTTTTGAAAAACTGTCATATGGTTGTTTTCTTTTCATGTATAATATAAAAAACTACAATCGCAAAGAAACACTTTATGTTGACAGGAGTGGTGGGGCATGATTCCGCTAATCAGCTAACAGCTGAACTCCTTTTTCTTTTAGCAGATGAGTTGTTTCACTCACTTTGAAAACTGTTGGCGGTCCAAAAGAGAGGGTCAAGCTGCGGACCACGGAATGGGGCGGGGTCGGACGTCTGACCCCACCCTCAACTCTAAAATTAACCACTCCCGATTTTTCAAGCCACGTTCCCGACAAGCCGTAACCACGCCCATTGTACGTCTGACCCCGTCTACTGTACGACCCCGCCCCATTCCGCAGTCTGCAGCCGGGGGTACACGGACCAAAAAGCTACCAGTAAATTAGATTTTTACAACTTTACATCTACTAACAGCTAACTAACAAACTAACATCAACAGATTTGTGTCGGTCCCACCAGGTTTCAAGTGAAAAGAGACGAAAACGTGACAGACTGAGTAAACGTAATCTTAGTGGTTAGTGGTTAGTTATTGTTAGCTAATTTTTACTTGTTTAATTGTTAGTGTTAGCTTCCACTAATTTTTTATTTGTTTAGCTGTCAGCAAACCAATCAGCTTCAGCTGAATTAGGTTTTGCCAGCTCCACTAACAGTTGACTAACAAACTAACATCAACAGGTTTGTGTCAGTCCCACCGGTCTTTAGGTGGAAGGAGATGCAGACGTGTGACACAGACTGAGTGACCATTGTTTTAGCGGTTAGCGATTAGGTGTTAGTGTTAGCTTCTGCTAAATTTTACTTATTTAGCAGCTTCCACTGTTTTTTCTTTTTTTTTCTTTTGCATGTTAGCATCAGTGAAACTATATTTTTTTAGTTAGGAGATTAAGTTAGCAATACAAACATTTTGGTTAGCTGTGCCCACCACTGGTTGACAGGATTTCTTAACTGTGGTTTCCAGTCTTGATGGTTTTTTTTTTTTCAGAAATATTTTTGTATTTTAATGAAGCCAATTTTTTAAAGCAACAATTTATTTGCAAATTAAACAAAATGGTTCATTTCCTGTTATTTGTGGTCAGGCTGCAGTGAGAAAAATTACAACAGTGATTCCTAACATATTGCTAAGTGCTGTTTCTGTTTGCTAAGTTTGCTTTGAGGTCCAACTATCAGGTACTCTGGAATTATTTTGTTCTTGAGCGTAATTTGAGTTTATATAATCGTCTCCAAAAACACAGACCTGAGGAAACGAAGAGGAAGGAGAAGCTGCAAAGACAACAACAGCTGCTGGTTCATCTTAACCAAACCTTTACGTTTAATTAAAACTTCAAGAAAACAATCCACCTAAAGATTAGTACATACAAATCTGGAATTTAAAGACTCACATGGATGCACGGGTTACTTACAGCAGTCCCTGCATGCCGAATATATTCTGACACTAGAAGAGAGCTACAGGCAGAGCCACATGGGAATATAAGGCTGAGTGCCTGTGCTCAGAGCCCAGGGCCAAACAGAAAACTAAATCCACCGGGAGTGCTGCTCATCTGGCCTTAATGCAAAGGAGTACCAACGATAGCTGAGAGCCCAAGTTCTTTAGGTCCAACAGTGCTTATCATGCAAATTACACATGAAGAAGCTCATTGTGTGAGAAAAGACACATATTTTAACTTTGTGCTTTATTCCCAGAGCATCCCTTGAGCCTCTGACGATTCCTCTGTGTCAACTTTCTCCTCCACTAATCTTTGCTCCGTGTAAAAAACACACAGCAGGTGAAAGACCGATGTTTTCTTTCCTTCAAAGTAATTTATTTAGGCGCTCTCAATCCTCTTACGGCA